CACACACACACACACACGCCATCCTCTGGAGATCTACACACACACACACCAACAGACGAGTCATCCTCTGGAGATCTGCACACACGCAAACACTGCTTCCAACTACTAAATGTGGTCCTAATCAGCAGCTCCACCCACGACGGACAAATTAGTGGATTCATTCATCAATATAATATTCATCTGAAATGATCAATTATCAATTCATTGAAAGAAAGTATTTTTTTAAAGAAAACATGACAGAAGTGTGATTTCAGCCTCTGACGTGAATATTATGTGGTTTTAAATAAAAGTAAGACCATAAAACTTATTCTAGTTTTCAAACCGTGTATTAAAAATGTACAACTTAAAAAAAAGGACCTTTAACTTAAACTTTGAATATCAGACTCTCATTTCTATCTGAAAACTGGACGGTGAGTCGGTGGTCTAGAAGCAGGTCCTTTCAAAATAAAACCCAGACAGTGAAGAAGCAAGTCCTTTCAAAATAAAACCCAGACACAGTGAAGAAGCAGGTCCTTTCAAAATAAAAACCAGACACAGTGAAGAAGCAAGTCCTTTCAAAATAAAACCCAGACACAGTGAAGAAGCAAGTCCTTTCAAAATAAAACCCAGACACAGTGAAGAAGCAGGTCCTTTCAAAATAAAAACCAGACACAGTGAAGAAGCAAGTCCTTTCAAAATAAAACCCAGACACTGTGAGTCAGCCTCTTCACTGATGTCTGCAGGACGTCACACTGGTGCTGCTGGTGTTACTGGTTTCCTTATGAAAGGCTCAGATAAGAACTTTAATAAGATTTATCTGCAGAGAGATGATATCTGGTGTCTCACCCAGAGAAACAATATTGTTCACATTTATTATTTTATGTTCCACTTGTTGAGACTGTGGTGGCCGGAGAGGGTCGGGTCGGGGGGGGGGGGCTATATGAATCATTAACTATCATCGATGTAAAGTTATAGTTCTTTAAATGCCCACGTTATCACCACAACAGTCATCGGGTCACACTTTCATATCTTCATTCATTCATTCCTCTCTCCCTCCATTCATTCACTGCTCCCTTCCATCCTCCCTCCCTCCTTCATTCATTGCTCCCTCCTTCATCCATTCATCCCTCCCATCCTCCCTTCATTCATTCATTCATTCCTCCCTCCCTTCATTCATCCATCCCTCCCATCCTCCCTCCCTCCCTCCCTTCATTCATCCCTCCCATTCTCCCTCCCTCCTTCATTCATCCATCCCTCCCATCCTCCCTCCCTCCCTCCCTTCATTCATTCATTCATTCCTCCCTCCCTTCATTCATCCCTCCTTCATCCATCCCTTCCTCCCTCCCTCACTATGTCATGTACTCACTCGCTGAGCAGAGCAAACCTCCTCAGGCTCTCCAGGAACTCTCTGCTGCCGCCCTGGTGGAAGTGCAGAGCAGGTAGGTAGGAGCAGGACTCCTTCAGTTTCAGGACCAGGAAGGTCCAACCCTCTTCCTTCATGGTGATGGACCTGAGGTCACTCAGAGCGAAGCTGAATGCCCCCCGGCTCCTCTCATGGCTGTGGTTCAGAGTGCCTGACAGACCAGGGATAGGGATCACAAAAGTACTACTGTGACGCTGATGGATTTATTATATGTTGATGTATATTTATATGACTGTGGATCAGCTGATGATGAGAGACATGTGATGTAAAGCAGAGTTACCAGCGTGGCAGTGAGAGAGTTAATCACTGAGCTGTTAAGTGTTGAGGAACGCAGTGAAACTAGTCGGTCAGGCTCCAACAAGCTTCTACTGTCTCCATGTTTCTATCAGATCATAAAGTATTTAACATGAACGATAAACACACCGTCTCCACAGACACATGTGAAAACACACCGGCCGTGCTCCAGGATGCTGGCAGTTTCTCATGTAGTGTATGTATAAGATGTTCATATCACCTTCTCCGTTGGTGCAGCTCTTCTTCTTGAAGGACACAGCGTTCACCATGTCCCACTCTGTCTCGTAGCTCTGCTGGGATTCTAACAGCTGGTGGGACTTCTCACCTGGGAACTGGTCCCATTCCATCACTGAGCTGGAGTCCTGAGAACACAAACATTTACAACATTCATCTGATGACTGAAACGTACTCAGATTCTATGAGAGCACTAGATGTCAGACTACTTCTAGTTTCTACTCTGGACTGAAATGAAGAAGCAGTTAAAAGTGGAAGGCTGGTGTTCCCTGGTGGGCTGGAGGTTTAAGATGCTGAGATATATATATATATATAT